TTACCTCCTGATGTAACCTTCAATCTATTAAAATTTTTCTTAAGTCTTACTGAGAATTATTGACAAAGGGGAAAAAATAAAGTCCTCATGGAGTGAGCTGCATCTTTTATCACAAGTTATGGTAAAACACAACCATTTCAGAGTAAATAAGCACTGGCTTTACCTTAACAGGATGATATCCTAGTTCAGTGGCTTTGTGGATTCCTTCCATTACCTTGTGAAAGCCTAAAATATAATGAGAATGAAATTTTATTTTTCTTTTTTTAAAAACAGAATACAAGAAGGTTTTAAATATCAGACCAAAAAAACGAGAAATAAAAACAATCTGATCCAGTAGACAGGGCAGAGAGCTGCAAGTAACAAAACTTCAGTTCTAACCCTCTCCTAACGGCTGCCAATGTGGGACTTTTGTCAAGTTACTGAGATCTGGCTTTTTTGCTAGTATTTGGGTAGTCAAAAACATTGGGATGCTTTTCTGCAGTTTTAGGCATCCATGTATCATTAACATATGACTATCCGCTTCCCTTACTTCAGCATTGCCTTGTGTTACGTCCTTCTTAAAGGGAGTGGCAAACATTTGTGAACGGCCTCCAGATGCAATGAAGAAAGAATACTAAATTGATGTTTATTTGATAATAATAGCACGTGTCTGTTCAAACTGCAGAATCTCATCGTTATACACCAAACGCTTACAGTGTTGCTAAGTGAACTTGAAATGGGGGGGGGGGGAAAGCCCCTCAGTTCCGTGTTCACCCCTTGCTACAGATTTAGTTGGCTTCCCAAAGCCCCTTTGGTTTGAAGATCAGAAGCAGCACTTTACCAGATCTTCATCACAATTTCAAATGTGGATTTGGTGAGCACAAGGTGGGGGGTGGGAGGAAGAGCATTTAGGAAAGCAATTCAGTTGACCTTTCACCCTTGAAAAGAAATGAAAGATATCAGAAGCTGCAACGACTTCAAGGAACAAAGTGTTCATCCTCACCCTACTTAAGTGCGGGCTATATGTGTCAACCGCTCCCAGACACAGAGATAAAGTTAATTCGGGGCAAACACCTTCACCTATACATGCACCTCCTAAATTTGGAAGATTAAAAAAAAGCAGCCATGCAATTTTATGATTCCAAAGGCCTTAAAAAAGAAAAAAAAAAACTCCTTTCCCATTCAAACCACACCTTCTGTCAACTTTCAACAAAGTCGAGACCTTTCCAGATATCAGTTTTAGGTCTGACATATTACTCCTTCCCTGCCACACTCACTGGTTGGAGGAGAAACAAGGTGATAGCAGGAAGATAGAGACACAAAGCTGCAGATCACTGGGTACTAATTTCTGGCAAGCGGATGTGCAGAGCTGTTAGTCTGATGGGGTAGAAGAGACATTCACAAACACAGCATGAAGTGCCCTTCCTCTTCTGCACTCTAAATTCAGGTATGAGACACCAATAACTCATGAGACTGAGCTCCTACTCCCACAGCTATAGTCCAGAGTATAAATACCTTATGCCTAGTAGCAAAAGGGCAACATCTTCCAGAAGTTTGTGCTGACTTTCCTGGTGTTGTTTGTCAAATTCTCTGGCGAAGGGATCATACTTTGTTAATCTGTAGGTGTTTACTGCAAGCAAACTAGAGTTTGCTCATTCAATATTAAGCATGCACAGAATATTGTTATGCTCAAAATCAGGAAAAAGGAGAGAGGAAGCTTTCATGTAACTGCTTTCTGGATAGTAAAGAGCAGTTGTTATCAAGGCGGGACAGAGGTAAGCAGAAGATGCTAGTCTGGCTGCAGAAAAAAGAGGTGAAGAGCAAGGAGGGAACAGTAAACTAACTGCTTGAAGTTGTAACTTGTCACCCCAGTCCTTCACTACCTACTTGCTTTGCAGGCACCAGGAAGATTGTGTCATCAGTGGTAGTTTTCATTTCAATTAAGCAAATTTGCAAACTGAATGTGAGAAGAGAGATCATATACTGCTGTAAGCACATCCCAGAGCCACAAAAGGGATCAGAAAGCTCAGCAACAGCTCAGCGGACCTTGTGTGTGACTTCAAAAAGGTGACACTGTGACTCAAAAGGCAAAGGACAAACAAGCAGCAGAGGTATGAAGATTACAGCTTGCAATGGGTCTAAATCAATGACCTCAGTTCTGCCGCTTATTTTCTGCCACAGTAGCATGAAAGTGCCGATTAAAATGACTATTAAAAAATCTCTACAAGCAAACAAAACAAAAAAAGCAAGCTATTTTGATAACAACAACTGTGAGCTTGTCTCCACTTAAAAGATTTTGAGGGTAGGGTAATTATTTAAAATAAAAATGTGTTACAGAATAAATGAAAATCCATAACTGCATTTCATATTAGGTTAACTTTGTTTCTGTGAAATATCTGATTCTCTCTCAGACTTTACCTTACCCGCAAACCTTTGGGGAGAAAAGCAGGCCTAGAGTAATCTGCATTAAAGATACAAAATTCCCAGTTTTTCCTAATATCCCAGAACAAGTCCCCAGCGGAGCAGAAAAACTGATTTCAAGTTTATTGAGTTCCTGGTTTGCTCCATAATCAGAAGCTACCTTTGCCCTTCATAGAAGTTATCAGCCTGTAGCAGTTTAGACTTGGAATATCTCCAACCTTAATAGAGCTACCTCTTGTCACCTCTGGAACTGCCACACGAGACAGGGTAGCACAGTAGGGCAGGCTACCCTATTCTCTGCTCATTCCATACTTCAACATTTCCTATTAAATAAAAATGCCTCAAAACCAATAAAAAGTGTTTCTGCAGTATTTCAGCCCTTGAGAAAAAAATACACCGAATATTATTGTTTTCACCTGATTTCTATTAAAAAAAAGTGATTTGGAGACTTTATTCTCTTCTTTAAAAAATATTGGGAGTCACAGGAACTTTCCTATTCATTCTCTGTGTTATTCGGCTCAACAGTTTCCCTCTCTATGGTTAAAGGCCTCTTTTTCTTTCAGAGAAGGAGGAAAAAAAAAAAAAAGAAGACATTTATATAAATAAAAATTACCCTCACCCTCCAACAACTTTTAGTGAGATGTAGTTTATAAGCAGCACATTCCTAACATCTTCCAATCAGATATGCAGAGCTGCGGCCATATAATTCAGGAAACTACAGGATCAAGTTTTTCCCTTCAGTAGCAAAGGAGGAACTTGTTTCCACTGAATGTCACAAATCAGCTAATCTTCAAATGCAGAGAGCAGAAAGAGAACATAGTCAACACCTACCTGTGATTTTATACTCCCAGATACTTCTCTACAAGCGAGTTATGCCATGCCATTAATGCAAGAGCCTAAGCTAGAAGGATAATGCTCAAGTCAGATTTATTTCTGACAGGGACAGATTTCTGCACCATAACTTAGAAGCCTGAAGAAGTACTCCCAGGGACAATGACGACAAGAACATCTTTCTGCACCTGTCAGGAGAACTTTAATTTGATAGTGGATTGATTCAAATGTTGAAATTCTCACAGCATCCCCAATTTCTAAATCCTTTGCCATAGATTCAGCCAATGTTGTTGCACCATCTAGTGGCTACCTGGAGGTTTTGTCTAAGTCAGAAGTTCACAGGCTGCCCAAGTTGCATTACTGCACGGAAATATAATGATGGAAAATCAAATCAGTTTTAGGTTGGAAGGAATGACAAACTTTTGCGCTGAACTTCATGCTGAGCTTTAGGATTCATTTCAGGTGACTCTAGGCACCTCCAAGCATTTTTGAAACTTTGAAATTACTAGCTCAATCAGAGAAGTTACAAGACTAGCACCCTTCTTCAAACGAGCTCAGGCATAGCTTCCTTTTCTTCCTTTGAAACAGTAACGGTGATAGAGAAAATGGCTAATCACAGGTGAGATTATTACTGGTGTCCCAGAAACTACTTCCAGAAACTACTGCTATTGGTGACAAGAAGTTCAGTTTTTGCAGCACGTAAGTCCTTGTCTGCTTTAGTGGGAATACTGATCTTTAACAGCGTTAAAGAAGAACAGCATGAAACCAGCATAAGATTTGGAAGGTCCTCTTGATTTCCATGGCTAACCAGTACTTAGTCAGTTACTGGCAACTCTAAGACAGAGCCAAACAGAGTAGTGAGCTGAGCACCCCGTGCTCCACCAGTTCTGACTAAAGGGTTGCTACCTGCCGAAGGGTTGCACACAAAAGGAAAGAGTCCCCTATCAAACATGCTAGTAGAGACTGCTTTTCCCAGCCTCAGAAGGACAGCAATTCACTTCCCCATAATAACTGAGCATGAAAATGACAGATCCCAAACAGCTCACAACATTACTATAAGTATTAACAAAGTTGCCTCGGAACACAAGCCTGTACCTCTCCTCCGGACAATGAACTCAAATTTAGCTGGGACCAAAGTATCCAGGCTAATGTTGATAGCATTCAATCCTGCCTCCTTCAGCCGCGGCAGCAGCCTGGCTAAGTTGATCCCATTGGTTGTGACAGCAATGGTTTTCAGCCCTTCCAGCTTGTACAGTTGACCTGGGAAATGAAAAGGGAAAAATAATACTTGAAGGATTCAAATGTTGAAATTCTCACAGCATCCCAGACTTCTAAATCCTCTGCAAGTTACACAGAAAACCCAGAAGAAAGTTTGTAAAACAAAAAAAGTCATTGAGGATGTCAGGAAAGCATGGACGCTTCAGAGTTTCAGCCTCCTTCCAGCTGTACTGGTTTAAGAGCCATGTTTAAGCATGAATCCATTTCAAGAGGTATTAGAAGACAGTAGTTTGTTGCAAGCCAAAGTGGTTATGAACAATACTGAAAATACACACTAGTTTTGGTCTCCATTTATTAGAGTAAATAGCTACTTTACTGTTGGAAGAAGGTCTCTGCTTCTATGCAGCTTGATTTCCCTCCTTTTCTCAGTCTAGCTTGTCAAGCTGAATCCTATACTCTGTAATAATAATAAGCAGCTAGCCATCACCTTTGCACCTGCCACCCAAACCTCCTGCATTTATATAGCAACATTAAACCTGCTATGCTTTAGAAAAATCAGTTTGAACACAGAAGTAGCTGCCAGTAGGACTGATTTTAACCACTGAAAAGAACTACCATATATACTCCTAACTAGACAGAAAAAGAGCAACATTTCAGAGCCATACAGAAAATCTGAGGCAACAGCTTGCAAGAAACAAAACACTTGACAACTGAAGTCTTTCCACCACCCACATTGTTACCCCGGCCAGTTGAGGAGGGCTAATGCAGGACGCCCAGAAATGGCTAACAAAAGAAAATCACATTAGAAATCATTAATATAATGAGGTTAAAATTTAGAAAACAGCTGCCTCCTCATAAGTCAAATGCAGAAATCCTCACCGTACCACCATACTAGATTTCCAGACAGCAGGCTTTTAAACCTCTGGTTATCACTACAACAAACGGGAGAAAACAAAAACCCAAAACAAAAAACAAACAACCCATAAACCAATTGCAGAAGCAGAACCACAGTGAAGTCATTCTATCTTACTTTTCCTTCTCTCTTTCTTCATAGCCTGCACCCTAACTAGTTGAGAAATATCTTAAGAACCCTTATTCTTGGGATGGCTTAAGTTACAGTACAAGTATCTCATAATCTCGTCTTTCCTATTTCACCTCTATTCCTTCAAGTTGATAAGAGATTCACTTCTGCTTTATCTCCTTTCCCAGCTGTTCTCAAGATATTCACCCCAAGCTCAGCCAAGGACTCAGGAATGGGACAAACAGGATCACATCAAAGATGCTGAAGCTTACAACAGCAGCAATTTGTAACATGACTTAAGAGCCCTGTAAAAGACGTGAAGGCTGAGATTGTAACAAAAGAGAAAGTTTTTACTAAGAGCTGAGTTGTTCTAGCATTCTTCTCCTCACTTCTCAAGACCCTCTCCACAAACCAGAAACAACCTGTTCCTAGAGTCTAAGTGCAATTGGGCTCAAACTATTGCCAAAAACTATTGTAACACTAGCTACCGTTAGCATTAGCACCCTAGTCTTTTTGAGAGCAGGGGATACACACTGCAGTCAGCAGTTGGGGGAAAGCATAGGAACATCACTGCTTTTATTTAAAAAAAAATGGCACCAGCTGATTAGGTCCATTAGTGCAGACAGCAGCTCTGATCAATGTCTTTTCTTCCTCAGATAACAGGAAGAGATACACCACAAAGCACTGGAAATCCACTAATATGGGGAACCATCTGTAACAACAGCTGGACAGAACCCCAGCTATGAGAAATTAGAGCTGGAGACTAAAACACCAGCAAGTTAAGGAGGACCAGTTAGTACACTCTGCCTTACTTGCAAAAGCTCTAAAGTAGAACATTTGTAGTCCCTTGTTTTTTGGCTCATTGACCTCTGAATTCAATAGGGATTGAAAAGATTTCATAATTTTGTAACACACCTTGTCCTGGATAGCGTCTGTTTGCTTATCTTTGGTCACTGCTTTAGCAACAATGGGCACAAGTGAAGGCAACTGATAAAAACTATCAAGTAAAATAGGAAACAGAACACATGCTATAATTCAGTAGCAAGAAGGAAAAGACTAACAATCAGCCTCAAACAAGTAAACGCTTTTACATTTACTTCTCCTTTAGGAACAGAAGCATCTCCCTTAAGTCACTGAATTTCTTGCACATACTCTTTCAAGTATTCATTCACTTCTATTTCTCCTGTTTGAGGCTAGAAAGGAAATTCTACCTCCTAATATAGGAATTAACAAATTCATATATTCTGCACCACTTTGCTCCTGAATCTTGTGTGCTTCTATGAAAAGGCTCCCTCCTCCAAAAAAGAAAAATGATTTTGTCAGTCCATTCTTGTCCAAGTCTGTATTTCTCAGAAGACAATAAACAGCTATCGCACAGTTAAAGTCCAGTGCTAATTTAAACTTGGAATATCCCAAAGGAGATTGATTCTATATTCCACTATCAACTGCTTCAGAAAAGTCTCAAACATATGTTTCCAACAGTCATTAGGATATGATTTAGTTGTCAGCGAGTGTTAGTTGCAGAGTCATAGTTTATGTATGCATATGTATTAAAAAGAGATTCAAAATAGTCTAAGCAACTGCAGCAGGCCTCTGAGTAAAGAGACAAGAATTAACCTGGTCTCCTCTACAGTAGCTTCAAATCACATATGTTCAGTGAGAGAAAAAAAAGTTTGAGCCACAGTAGTAGGAAAATGTCATACTAATAATCTCTCTAACAGTAATATTCATGAGCTTTATTGGTATTCCATAGATAATTTATGGGTAATAGAAAGGTTTGTTGAAAACAAACCTGACTTAAACCTCAACCCTATTCAGCAAGTGAGGTATTGCAGCCAGCTTCTGTAAACTTTCTAGAAGACCAGATATGGCTGAGATTGAATCTCCCAGCAGTAACAAACATTAGAAACAAGACAATAACACGCCTACGAAACCAGTCTAAGGTATGCAAGAATCCTCTAAATCTCAGAAAGGCCATTTTAACTCATTTATTTCATGTTTACATATAGAATATTGTAATACAGACTTAAGAGTAAATAAATTGACATCTAAATGCCCATTTTTATGAGATCTTAAATAGCACAGTTACTGTTTGACTATTACATTCGTACCATTACTAGATTTTGTTTCTTATTTGGTCTGGAACTATGGAGCTGATGTTACGGTAATTAGAGAAACATCTTCCCATATAATACTAGATAAATTAAAACCACAATAAGCATTTACTAATCTTTTTTTTTTTTTTTTCCAAATAGTGTGCCTGCAGTCTTTCAAAAACGTTATCTCCTAATACTATTTGCTAGCTAAACTATTTTCAAACAACATCAGAATTCACCACGCTCCTTCAAATAGTCATGAGACTGGAGTTAGGATGGAGGCACTCCTTTAGGGGGCAAATACTAAGTTTCCAGTGAATCTCCAGGAGAAACAATTCATGTATTGCAATGTATAATTAACAGTGTAGAATATTTTGCAACTCTTGCACCCCACAGAAAAAGAAACCTAGATCACAGAGTCATGAAAACCCACAAATACATATATGTGCCAAAATACTATATACTGACCTTATCAGCAGGCTTGTTGAAGTCACTAAGACCTGACTAGGGAAATGACATCTTAACAATGGAAACATATTTCAAAGAGGAGGCAGATATTAAACTAAACAAAGTAATCTCACAGGGGCAAGTTGACATTAAATAAGGAATTAACAGACTGAACACTGGTAGTTAGGAAATATGAGCATGTAAACCAGGAGCTATTAACTTTTCTATCCCCTATTGTTTCAGGAACCCTGAAGAACTCAAAACCTTTTCTGTCAAGAATTTAATATCCAAGCACAGCAACCTCTTCCAGCTATGCAATCACAGATAGGCTTTTCAGAGTACGCTAGAACAGTATTCCTTTAATCCACTGCAGCTCCTATTTCAGCACAAATACCGAATACAAATATATTAATGGAATCACATCAAGAGACAAATCAAAGCAGAGCTTCTGAATGTATCTCAGCTTTTTCCTACTTAAGCAAAGTTTTTTTTTTTTTTTTACATTAGCTTGTTGAAAGAGTCACAATTCCCATAATTCTCTTGCTCCTGAATCAACACCATTTTTGCTTCTTCAATTCTTGCCCAAGAACCAGAAAGTACACAGTATAAGAACAGTTTCAGGCCTAAGGTTGCAGCTCCTGTAAGGAATGTATTGCCAGGAAAGGTCCTTCCAGAGAAACACAGCTCTCATCACTGGGGTACAGGATGAAACAAATATTTTTGTTGGTTGCTGTCAGTACATTGCAATGACCTCAGTTTACAAGATAAGTATTTGCTTTCCAGAAGTACTATTACAAAGCAGAAATCTTCAGAGTCTCAGATACCCACTTCCGGAATAGTTTCTTAATGACCTTGTGTTAAGAAGGTTATACAAAATTGTGTGTGTGTAAATATATAAATATACACATATATACATAAATACACACACATATATAAAAATAAATAATATAAGAAAGTCATAATATACGTGTCTAGGTCTCATCTTCTGGAATTCTGCAGAAAATGTATTTCTGAATTTGTTTTCTCCTCAGTGAATTTTCCGCTAGTTGTTAAACATGATCTATTTAGTTTTGAGACTTTTTCTTGATCCCAAACACGCGCGTGCCATACTATAACAACAGAGTTTGAGAAGGAAAGGAAACGCGTTTATGGACTTCATTAATTTGCTAGCTCTTCAATATTCCCTAGAAAAAACAACCAGGCTAATACAACTTCAAAATAAAATGAGCTAATGTAACAGGACAATCATCTTCACATCCATTGCCTTGATCCCAAGATGACTACTCTCTTAGCATTCATTAAAATGACCACTTTGAATCTGCCAAAGTTCGGCTGTGAGCAAGAGCACAAGCAGAACAGTGAAAGCCCAGTAGTTCAAAAAGATTCGTCTCCCTCCTTTAGCCACAAAAATATGCCTTTGAGAATTATATTACTACAATAAAACATACAAAACAAGCTTCTATCCTTCCACAATTACTTTAGAATCGCAGCAGTGTAAGACTCTATTTTGCAGTGAACTGGCTACTTCAACCTATACCCTAAACATCCCAGTGGACAGCATTTTGGTATGAAAAGCAATCAGCTACCACTGATAAATCAAAAAGGTACATAAACTAGGAAAGACACTTCTGCACTGAACTAGTAACGTTACTGATTTCAATTTATTTTTATTCACTATACGCCAAGCTTAAAAACTTGGCTATTTTTTAAAAAAACAACCTGTTCTATAAATCTACTCCCCTTCTGTCTGGCAAAAGCCAGCTAAAAATAGTTACTTCTTTTATTACTAGACATAGGGAATGCCTTCTTGAGAGAAATATTAGCACCAGGTTTCTTGAAAGGCACATAGTTCTCTCAGTTGTAAATACAAATAGCCTTCCATGCCCGGGCAAAATATGCTAGAGAATGGCATTCCACAGAGTTCCAAAAATATGAAATTAGTACAGTTTCAGGACTCGTCATAGCAAAGGTTCAAGCAGAACCCAAGACAGCTCACTCCAGCCCTTCTTCTTCCAGCTATAAGCAGGTTAGCGCTATATACTGGACTGTTCTGCTGCTTCCACTGGAAAAGACCAAAAATTCTTCTGATTCCTGAACAAAATAGAACTACAGCAAAGAGACCAACTGTTTTCCACAACAAAGCTCACGGTATCAATAGACAGCTACTATATTCCTGCCTACATAGCCTTATCTAATACAGTGCCACTACACCGAGGTGTTGCAACATTCATAACATACGAGACTGGATGTTACGTATGGATGTTACGACTGGATGTTTCCCCCCACGGGGGGGGAAAAAGCAGCTAGCTCAAGACAAAACTGGCACAATCAATCAATGCATGCCAATTAAAAGGAGATAGGGTTCAAAGACTTAGCCAGTACTGTCAGCCATTCTACTAGATGCTGAATATAAAGACAACGTTAAACTTAACTCTTGCAGTACGAAGCAAAAGAAGTTGCATCCAAGCAGGAAAGCAGAATAGAGTTTTCTGGAGGGAACTATCTTAGATTTCACAATACTGAGAGATAGCACTGTCATTTCACGCATAATTACTCTTCAGGTTGTTGGACTATATCAGTAGATAGTTATAAGCATTGTTCTTGGATCAATATATAGTCACTTTGAAAGTTCATTTGTTTGAAACTCACCCACAATATCAACCACATCAGGCCGGATGAGAGGCTCTCCTCCTGTCAATCGGATCTTCTCTACACCCTCTTTCACAAACAGCCTGGCTAGGGTGATTATCTCCTGAGCAGTTAGTAGCTCTGATTTAGGGGTCAGCTGAACACCTTCCTCTGGCATACAGTACTGACCTGAAATAATCCAGAAATACATGGCAAGAAAGAATCAGCAGCAGTCAATCTAACAACGACAGGCAAAACGCACCAAGTGTAACCACCTTTAGTGAGTGTCAATGACTCTGCCTTGCTAAAGTACAGACAGATCGTAACACCAAATTGACAAGCAATCTACTAACATTTTGTAGGCTTCCTTCATGAAGCCTACAAAAGGAAAAGAAATACTAACTTGATAAGTCTCAAAATTACAATGGATCCACACTTGAGAGGAAAGGTTACTCTTAGTCCTATCTAACCTAAACTCAAACGCAGACATCAAACTGACCTGGCAAGCATGGGAACATTGCCAGCCCTAAACTTTGCAGATATAATTGTGCAAATACAGAGTACCTACCTGGGTGCGAGCTCTTGCGCTTATCACACATTTTAGGCAGCAGTACGCAAACATCCACAAGCATCATCATCCAAATCCCACCAAGTCTGGCATGAGACCTGTCATCTCGTCAGTTTCTGGCAGATTCCTCCTCTTGCTCCTGCTTCCCCACCCCACTGGCAGTTCAGCTGAAAATCAGTCTCTAAGTATTTTTATCATTACTTCTACAACACAAGAAACATAGCACAGGGCCAGCACAACCTGAAGGACCTTAACTCAATTCTTTGCGCAACATGCTTCTAGCTGTTTGCGCATAAAAGCTTTGGGTAAGAAAGAAAACAGACACTTACATCTGAGGTTACATTTCTCAGTCAGAGAAATTCGCAAGTAGTTGTGCTGACGTCCAAAGCTGTCTGTCAAAAAAGGAGAGAAGGGAGCAGCACGTTCCGGGAGAAAATGTCCTTTTCCCGAGCTTGTCAATTCCTGAGAGGAAAAAAAAAAAAAAGTATAAAATATTTGAATAGCTATTTTCACTATCAGTGTGCTCTATAAATATTAAATTTGAACTCAACAGATAATAATTATCCCATTTTTCCACGGGGACAGTGGAACAAAAAAAAAAAATCTCACGGCTTCTCTTTACGGCCCAAACTGACCACTTAGTGTTTCATTTTCACATCATACTTAATTCCACAGAACTGTACTACATATTTGCCCTGTGTATTTTAAGATACAGTCACTTTGCCACATCTACTTCAGACTTTTGTGCAGAGCATGAGGCACAGTTTTGTTTCAAATATGTCTCTCAGCTTCCTAGGATCAATGATCCAAGAACCCTCATGGTCTCACTACAGCCTTCAGGTAACTGAAATTATGCATAAGGGTCCTGAAGTTTAGAGCAAGAGACCTGAAAGTTGATGAAACTCTGCATCTCTGCTTGACTCCCTTCCAACTTCCATGTTCAAGATATAACATCCGGTCAATACAAGAACAGATTCCTGCCATGTACAGTATGTTTCACAATATCTGTTTCAAGACAATTTCCAGCAAGGTTTTTCTGCCCAAATGTTTCTGTATAACCAGATACTATAAGAAAGCTTGTCTCAGAAAAAAAACATGGCAGATATACAGGGTGCAGCGGGACTGGAAGAGAAACTTATGATCCAAAACATTGCAGCTGTTCAAGCCCATATAAAAAGACTTGGAATTTTAATAATGTCTCTATTAACTGTTATTAAGTGATTCTTAAACATGATTTCTATTTAGAATTTTTGGTGTTTTAAAGCTCAGAGTAACACCTTTTAGAGGGCACCATTTTCAAGAAGGTCTGAATATCTGCCCTCCAGAACCTCTTTAACCACCTAAAGAACCACTTTAGGTATCAAATTAAATATCTCAAATTAGTACTTGCTACTGGAAAAGAATACAGTTAAAAGTTTATACCAAGTATCTTTAAAACATCACTGAAGTCAACACTGAAACACTGCTGATTATAGCAAGGTCTAAGCACAGGGCCTCCCACTTCTGCCATTAGATCATGACTTTCAAGATACCATGCTAACTCTCTCTATTTTCTATACCTGTATTGCACAGCTGAAACCACTCAGCTGCTTTCAGCAGATGTTTCAATACTTGAAGTGAAACATGCAGTAAGGTGAACCAACTCTTATTACAATGTTGCAGAAAGGCAAAAATTCACCAACATACTTCTAATCAGCTGGTTGATGCTTAGTTTAGAAACTGCATGCAAACACCCACAAGCACCATAATCAAAATCCCACCAAGTCTTGTGTGTTCTCATCTATTAAAACACAGTTAAATTCATATTTTACAGGAGACCAATTTAATAATTCTGACAGGCATCAGCTGCATCACAAAATGAAACAGAAAACAGGGGCAAAATAAATTAAAGTAACTACCTCCACTGTGTCCGTGTTATTTAACCATACGCAGACACTTATCAGCCAGCTAAGAAAGCTGGAAGAAAGCTAACGGATTCCTGCAAGTGCAGTGAACTTCCCTTCCAGTGAAAGAGCACATACAAAAATCATTTCTGAATACAGCGGTGTTTACCAAGTTAAAAAAAATGGGGGGGGGGGAACAACTTCAGAATCATACCTCCAGTCAAAATCATTCTGACTAGCCATGATAGACTGCAGTACATAAAGGATTAAAGTTTTAAGACAAATCTAAGAGTTTGAATGAGGAGATGGACAAAATTAGCTGGGCATTCACACTTACTGCGCAAAACTCACAATTTCCATCTGGAGTAAGATAAATCTGAGAGAGCTTCAGAAATACTAATTTTAGTATGTGCTAATTTTAGCATATAGGGGATGATGCCTAGGGACTGGGCAGAAACACGCATAGCTGTGGCCATCATCTCCCTGGCTCTGGTCATCACCAGTAGTAACCATAAGAGTTCATCCAGCATGGTATTTAGAAACAGCCCTAGCAAGGTGTTTAGAAATAGTCAGCTACAATGTTAAATAACCCAAGTATCTTTCCTGAAAACAGGAAAGCATTTATTATGAAAGCACTTTAAAGAAAGGCTTATGGGGGGGCAAAAAATTGAGAGAGGAAACCCTGAGCAAACAGATCAGCCGAGATAGCAAAGGATATCCAGGGAGAAGCTCAACTTCAACCATCAGCAGCAAAAACAATTCTGATTCCAGCTGTGCTAACACCATGGCTGCTAAGCAGGGGGCAGCATTTCTTGGCAGCATGATCTCTCCACCAGCCTCTGAACTATCTATTTCACTTCTTGATCTGGATGGCTTTGCGGTTAGATAAGTAGCTCTCTAAAAACAATCCAGGCAACGCAGGGGTTACAGAATATAAAGGAGTTACAGAGTGCCCAACTTCAACACTCAGAAAGCATCTGTTTAACCCTGATAAAACAGCAGTACTAGTTTGAAAGAAGTTGCTTTTCTGAAGAAGGAAATCTCTTTCAGTTTCTGTTTTTCAACCACCATAACACTAGACTTCATAAGCCTGGCCTTGCATCCTTGCGCTATCAAAGGCGTCAGTGACAACAGTTGTGCAAGCCGATCAGTCCACAGCCATGCTCACTGCTTATACTTTTACACATTCTTACATCCGAATCTTTTCTGACAAATGTGCACAGGCAGAACAAATCATCTAGTTTTCACTGCCATCAGAAAAACACTGCAGCCGGAGTGGCCTGTGGATTGTCTGTAAGCTTTGTACTGCTTTACTTTCACTAGAGAATCAGAAGCTGAGAGCTTTGTTAGAAATGCTGGTACAGCCAGACTTATTGTGAGAAGTTCTTAGACTACAAAAAAGGTTTAAATATAAAAGCCCAGTTCAATATACAGACCTCACTTTTGCTTGTCCTCCTACTAGGAAATTCAATCCTGAACAGACTAAATCTGAAGACATTCTAAATATTACCAACCGCAGAAATCTTAACACGAAAGCATTTTTTGAAAACTATGCTGCATTTTGGTCTGTCTTGATTTCTGATCTTTTCCTTCCCACTATTTTAGACAGGTGTTCATATTTGAGAGGGAAAGCACTCACGTTTAAGATTATTTTTGCCCTTCTTGTAGCAGCACTCCAATTCTGTTTCTCAGTAACTCATTCTTGCACCTTCTACAGGACTAGGCTTCATTATCAATGCCACTTTAACAATAATAGTATGAACCTCATGCCTCCCCATTTTGGAGTGTGCATTACAGGGAGAAAAAAATTAGAACAGTTGTCCTTTGCTGACAGAAGGAAGACAAGAGAGGGATATTTTAATGATTTTACGTAATAGACGCCAAAACGGTATACTTTCTTTTCAAGGACAGGAATTTGCTTCCAGTAATTTCCTATTTCCAAAATTTAGGCTCTTTTATCTTACTATTTAAATATGATTAACCCACACGCACATAGCTCTGCTTCCTTAGTAGCGCATCTGGTTGCTTAATGAAATGTTGCTAGTGCTAGAGGCACACTTATAACTAAGAAACAGAAGCACTTACACTGCTTTTCTCTTTGATACATGCTTTGCTAGTGGATCAAAATATGATCTACTTGTCAATCTTAATACTCTCATTAACATCTCAAAATCTTCATGCAATTTCAGGAAGAGAAGTTGAAAGCTTTCAAAGTCAAGGGAGGAAAAAGTTAGAAATAGTCCCAGTATGGAAAAGGTACACATCGAGCTATGTTAACTATTGTTTCTCTAGTAACTGAAAACAACTCCTACATTCAATATGCCAGTTTGACCCATACTGGACCACTTCAGCCTCTGAATCCTGAAGGAGCCACCACTGACTGCAACACAGGAGACAAGGATTCTGTTCCTGGCTCTGCTGGGTGACTTTTACAGACTGGGAAACTAAAGAAAGAGATCTTACTTGAGAAATAATACTGGCCTCCATTAATTACTCTGAGGTTTACTGTAAAGAACCAGTAGACAAGTACAGGCACTCAACAGGCAGCTGGTGTCGGTTTACTTTCAAGTTTCTTTCAGAAAGAGGTTTTTCTCACTAGCTGCAAAATTCATATGAATGTTTGGATGGGGGGTGAGGGAGGGCAGAAATTCTCCAGAGCTACTAGAACTTCCTTCCATCAACTTCTTGTATACAGAGATGGTTTGTCTGGAAGGAACGAGTAACTAAAGATGGAACTTCTAAGCTGTTGGTTCAGTTTCTGTCCAGTTTGGTGCCAGCAGGGAGGAAGTAGGAGACACGCAACAGGAGTTCAGCAGTGTTCAGTTTGAGCTCCAGTGGGAGTGGACCCTGTATCACCAAACCTGCCACCGCACCTAGCACTGACTCATATTTTTATCAAATGCCCCAGGGAAGGCCAAGGATCAGAAGTGGAAACTCAGCTGCTTTCCTGGCTGCTCAGGGCAAAGATGAAGCACACTTGCAGTCATTGGGTAGGCATGACTTTCTAAAGGGGAAAAACATGGTGAGGTTGGACCTAAGTCACTTGCAGCCTCTATTTGAGCTATCACAGCAGGAA